ACGCAGAGCAAGCCGACGGGAATTCGAACCGAAGGGACTTCAGGAGGAACTTCCATTCGGGTTTCGTTTATTGTTGCATAGTACAATTTAAACTATAAGTATCACGCAGAGCAAGCCGACGGGAATTCGAATCGAAGGGACTTCAGGAGGAACTTCCATTCGGGTTTCGTTTATGATTTAGAAGGTTATTGATAGAAAAGATTGAAAATAGACGCGGTCCTAGAAGTCGAACCACTCAAAACCCTCAAGCAACTAGGGTCGTTTATTGGCATTTTTAACCACCACCAAAGGTTCCTGCCTAATCCACACGTCCAAACCAACCAACTATGCCCTTCTCTTAAATTCAGTAACAAGAATGAATTTGAGAGAGGTTAATTTCAACAAACTGCATTTAAAAATGAACTCGGTTTTATCGGAAACATCACAAAGATGTATCATTGTGACCAAAACCCTCCAACGAGAGTCAACTGCGATGCAAATCATAGTGAACTGATTGCTGCCTCTGAACAGTAAAATGAAAGGGAGGTTTTTGCTTTGCACTTCTTGAACGATCAAGGAAAAACATACAGAACGATTTAATTCAAGTTGCTTGCTTTTGTTTGGTCTTGCGAACATTTTTGGAATTACTTTCACGGAAGTCACTTTGAAGTACAGACGGACAACAAGGCAGTTATCGCAGCGTTCAAAACAAACCGGGTGAACAGAAACCAGCAGTCCCGACTGCCACTCTAGCGGATCGGCTATGACCCTTTGACTTCTTCGTCATTCAAATCTCGGGTAGTAAGTTGGTAATAATTGATCAATTTTCCCGGTTTCCTATGTTCGAAGCTCTGAAACCGTGTGATTTCGACAAACCATATAAAAAGAAGTGCTTTGATAATTTTTCTAGCCATGCTACTTCGTGGACAGCTGGATTGAAAGCCCCACCAATAATTGTCATTTTTTTCCCAATACTAAGTCACGTACCACATTATATACCGAATTCCAGCTGTTATCTTATCTCGACCGATTCACCAAATATCGCAAATTCGGTGGCCATTATGTTCCTCAATTCGATGGCCATTTCAAATTTGACCAATCGAATTTTGAAAAAGTGCTGGCTTCAAGCCACATGAGGGCGCTCGATTCCGAGTGTTAATTATCCTAGTACAAATTCAAAAAGTATTAAGTTCGTAAAGAATAACAAATCCTTAGATGGCAAGAAAACAATGATTATATTCTCGTCCAACCAAATTTGAAAAACTAATGCCTTCCATTTGACCAAAACAGTTTCAACCTCAAAAGTCATATTGCCATTAGAGGGATACAAATTGCGTGATTTCCTTCTCAACCAATCAATGGATGACAATTTTCAAGTAGAGCCGCCACTAGAGGGCCACTTATATTATTCACATTTTCAGGTACAATCAAATTGCAGATTTCTAATTTATCCACAGTTGCCACTTTCTCAGCATTTTTGCCAATTCTGCTGCAAATTCTCAATTTTTTTCTCACACTATTAGTCTCAATATTGCTCTTCCGGTTGATCGACGAACTGTATCTCTATTTCGGTAGAACTAGTTATAGCAGCATGTATTTCATCTCTGCCTGGCTTTTTCTGGTTTTCGTGGAACCCAGATGACAAATTTGAAAGTATACTAAGCAAATTCGTCCATTCGGACAGGCTTTAGTTTGTGGCGAATAGGTCGCATTAGCCAATCAGATCGAGAGCAGTTCGTCTTCGGCGGTTCTAGAGGTATTTTACGCCCGGGTGCTCGGTAGTTTTCGGTCACTTCGATTGAGAGCAGCAAATTTAAAACGTACAAGTTGCCGCCCCGAGAAGTGACGCTCAGTTTAGTTATCCTGAAAAATCAATTCTTACAAGGAACAAAAAGTTACTGTCAGATCTGGTGGCAATTCTTATCGCAAATGTTTTGGCAGAGCTTACAGACTAATAAATATTACAAAGGGTTGATGCGTATGTGCAAACTTTTTGTCAGTATTCGATCATGGTGAACATAGTAAACAACCGGATAGCTATTGCGAACGTTCTTTAGAAGGCAAAACTTGCACGGCCCCATCGTTCCCACAAAGGGCAGTTGGCTATAGTCGCCGAATGTATCGAGACATCGTGGAAAAAAGCATAGATTGCCCATATTGTAGCAGTTTCGTTAATCAGCAATTGGAGTGAGGTCTTCTCAGTGCCATGTCCCGCAGAGGTCAATGTGACAGCCAGCCGAGGATCGAAGTGGTCGGCGAGGGGCAGTTAAGCCCTTTGGTGTCACTCTATTTGCAGAAACCCCACACTACAAGGCCTAAAGAACAACTTGCCAAGGCACTTGGTTTGCACTTAAGAAAACGGTCTTATCTTCAAAATTTTGACCGAGGGAAACCAAGTTGTCGCAGCGATTCTCCGTTCAAATTTGTCAGCAGGGATTTTACAGTTCAGGAATCAGATGCAATCCGAGCAAGTTCCGTCATTGTCGAGCTCTAAAGGCAAACAGGCTTCACCGTCCAAAGAGGGTCGTTTTCTTCACCCGATGACAGTCGTCCTCTTCATCAGCTGGGAACAACTCGCACCATAACCGCAGCCATGACAGTACTACTCCTGATTCTTCCAAAATCAATCACTCTACAAGCCGCATCAACTCTGCTCCAAAGACTAAGAAAGCCCAAGGAAATCTTGGTCGAGGAGGCTTAATCTGTCTCTCCGGGAATTGGTCCCGAATATAACTGTTCTAGTCCGGTTGTAGACCTTACCGTCTCATCGCCAGCACCTGGTGGCCTTCAGGACAGCCCTCCGTTGATGCTAAGATGCTCCAATTTTATTATGATTTCGTCGGATGATGAAATCCAAATTTCAAATAACAGAACAATGCAGTTCCAAACTGTCCCGAACAAAGCAGCTCTAAACTGTCCCAAACAAATCAGTTTTAATTCGGTGGTAGACCTTACCGTCACATCGCCAACATCTGGGGGCCCTCTTGACGTTCATCCACCGATGTTGACATGCTCCGGCTCGGATGATGAAACTTAATCTTCAAGTAAATCTCAAGTTTTTGGATATCCATAGTTCCTTCTCCGTTGACCAAAGTCGAAGCTACTTATCGTTTCGGGGGATCCGATGGGGCCGAAACTTATTCATCTAGGACATCCTCACGTTAAAAGAGAGACAACTTTTTACAGTAGTCCAAATCGTCATTCGGTCAGAGAGGTCAAACAAAGCAATCCCAGCCAGCACAACTCCAAATTTTCAGTCCTGAAGTAATCTCTCCGGGCAAACTGGTGCGCAGTCCATCTCTGGCGAGCAGTCATTTCGGGAGCATACCCGGGGCAAAGCGCCCCAAGAACCACAAGGCTATTAGGGCTATTCGAGGAAGTTCATCCGCTTTCCGCAGTCAGCATCGGAGAATCCGTTCCGTCGGAGCGACATGTTGGAATTTTCCTAGTCATATGAACTCGCTTCATAAATTTTTGTTCTTTCTCCGTCAATTCCGCTGGTTTACCACATTCTGTATCGGTTTCGAATCATCATTTTAAGTAAACATACATGTTTTGCCTTAATTTTAGTTAGCATTCATATGACCAATCCCAAAATTTTCTCCTAGAGGAGGAAATGTAGTGCAACGTAGATCGTGAACGTATTATCACGTCTCCTAATTTAATTTGAGTGTATGTTCACTCGGATTCCAAGTTCATTGACGAGCTGTCAAATCACTAATTACGTTGGTGCTAAACTATACGTCCTCACTCTTTGTCAATTTATGTAAGATTTTAGTTGAAATCTCGATTCGTTTGCTTATTATTGTTCCGACTTTCGATACGAAAGTAACGGAATATTTGTGCTCGGGGTGGGTTTTTTTTTCTTCAGACAAATTTCGACTTTTTAACTAGCCATTTTTGACGGAATTTTTTAATATCATTCGAAAGGTATTGTTGTCTTGAGCTGAAATTTGAAAAGATATTTCACCTGTGATCTTTTTTCGTAAAGTTATGGGGGTTTAAAGGTTGCCATTTTGGCCAATTTGGGACAATTAACGCGCGATATATTTCGCGCTATTAACGCGTAAGCGGAGAGTTAATCCGTCTTAGAAATCGTTCCAAATTGGTTTAACGAAGCTTATTTGCCATAATTGACTTGTTACAAGTAGCGAAATCTATCCTTTTGGACTTTATATGGCGTGTGGGGGGGATGATTTTTATTTAAAAAAAATCAAATTTAAAAAAAAATTTAATTTTGTTTTATTACTTTTAATTTTTTAATGTTATTACTGCTCCATAAACCTTAATAGGCAGTCGGAACATTCAGGGCTTCGCCCTAATACGAGCAGTCTTGTTTATATTACAAGATGAAATAAAGTCTTGATCTTAGTTTTGCGATCTAAAGTTCCTCAAGGTACCACATAGACAATCTACATTCCTTAAATTTTGTTTGAATAAATAAAAAATTCATTTTGGCAGAGTTTGTTATGTCGAAGATGAAAGGGGTATAGCACCCCTATTAGTAATTTTTACATAGACTTTTTATATAGACTAATTTTGAGAAGAGGGGGTTTGGCGAAAAACAAACCATTTTTTAATTTTGCAGAAAAAAAATAAAGTTTACCTGATCAGTCAAATCAACTGTACTTTAAAAAACGGCTGAAATGTTTGCTCTTTCTCAGCGCCAGGTAAAACCTAATGCCAATGAGATCTGTCTAAATTCTCTCTCTGACTTTTTTAAAAGTTACCTTTTCAAAATAGCATCCAATTTTTTAAATCAAAATAGACATAAACACAAGAGTATACAAAATATATGAGCCGCATTTAAATAAAGATACTGCTGAGAAGCCCTTCTTTAGGTTCAGAAAATCTCGCAAATTCGAATCTTTTTTGAATATTTACTTTTTTGTGTCCTCATATTTTTCAAAAATATTTAAATCAAACATATATTTAAATACGCTTGAATTAGCCTGAAAAGACATCAAATGGGGCCAAGCTTTTAAGGAAGGGCTTTTTAAATCAACACAGGTTTTTGTAAAAAAAAATTAAATACTTTTCTGGTTTGTATCAGGCGCTGCTGGAATTCTGTTTACTGGTTGTTTTCGATTGATTGTTGCTTATTGCTGGCTCTTTTTTTGATATCTTGTGTTCTTTTGACGTGTTTTCGTTCAGTTTTTTCACCCTGAATTGCAGACACTCCGCATATGTCAAGAGACTTTGGGTGATGGCTTTGTCAACTCTGAATTGAGCTATCCAGCTTTTGATATCCGTCGACATGAATTTAATCATTTCACATTTATTGCAGTCATTTTCTATCCTTTTGATGATGAAGCCCAAAATTTTATACTCGCCTCGTGTCAAGCACGGCAACGCATTTTCGTCGCTTTCATTCAAATCGTGCGTTTCCGGCAACCCTTCGCGAGCAGCAATGTCTTCAGGCGAGTAAGTTATGGACGAGCCGAACGAGTAAAATGTGTTTTCGAGAGTGGCCGAGCGCATCGACACGACGAACTCTCGTTTGGCGATGCTTCGTCGTCCTTCAATCTCATTGGTCACGAGTCGTAATACTTTCGTGCATTCGCCGAACGAGTGGAGTACAGTGATAGAGTCTATAGTTTTATCCCAGGAGGGAATGAACGCATAGTTTGTGAGTTCGTTCTCTAATTGTTCGGGTGATAAGTTAATAATCATCTCTAGTTTATAAACTCTGCCTAGTTCGGGCATCTGTTTAATACACACGCATGTTCCATATGCTCCACATTCTTCCAATTTCCACTCCTCGGCAGCTGAAGAAAAAAAAATATTTATCTTTCCTATTTCTTTTATTTTCAACGGGCGAAAAAATTGATGCAAATTTCATTTATGGGCTGTAGATAGAATTAACATCAATAACTTCACAAAACGCTATCAGAAAAAAAATTGTGGACAAGGAAGCTTTTGCATACTAAATGAGCAGAAAAGCCAAATAATCAATCGATAATTTGCTCAAATTTATTTTTGCTCCCAAAACGAAAAAACGGATCTGGGAATTTCTCGAGGGGAGATGATTTTCAAAAAATTTTCGAAATTTTTGTCGACTTTTTTAAAGGTCGACCAAGTTGGTTTTCTGAGCGCTCCCAGAACCCTGAAAGACCCTATTTGACCAACAATTTTGCGCAGCAAGCAAATTTTTGAAAAAAGGTCTCAAAACTGCGTTTTTTTGGCGCTCGATGCCCTTGAAAATTAGTATATATTGGCGCCCTTAGAAAAACTTTGGAGTTGGTCGGTCTAAAATGGATGTCATAAGAATGGATGGACCCTTTGGTTCGTGAGGGGGTCGAGTCCCTGAGAGGGAGCACCTAAATTCACCCCTGATCGCATGTATACATGTAAAAAAACTAGTACATCAAAAAATATTGAAAAGAGTTCATTGTTCCATTATATTGCAGCCTATCTTTGACTTTATCTGCATGAAAAAATGGAATTGTAATTTGTAACTTTTTAATTTGGCCATTCACAGATTTGGGAAGAAACAACGACCTAACTGGAATTTTTCATGCAAAGTTAGGTAACAAAAACTTCATGAAAGGTCTTGTGATATAAAAAACCGTTTTATTTTTTATTCGGATTTATTTTAAAGTAAAATAAAGTTATCGCCATTTCGAGAACGTTTCTGTTTTTTTTAGACTGAATTGTTGAATTTTTAGAAGGGTCCTAATGCCTCAAGACACTCAAAGCTTATTGTTTTTTTTTTTCAGAAAAAACTAATCATATTAAAGCTATTGTACTCTGATACTATTTCGATTTTGAATCAGCCAATTTTTACAGCCCACAAAAACTATTGAAAAGATTTTCTGAGACACATGTGAACGGACCCTGAGACAAATGTGAACAGCAAAAAAATTGTTAGCGTGGTTTGTAAATTTATCAACTACCCGCAATAAATGGAGTGGCCTGAAATTTTTTTATTATTATGTCATTATTGAGTTTTTTTGCATTGAATGACTTTTTTCTAATATATTGGTCAATTAATTTTTTTACCTCGACAAAACAAACGCTCTGAGCTTTCCTAAAACACCAAAAATCTACTAGTTTGAGCATAAACTCTTATACTGTCGGCTAATTTTTGTAAAAAGTCAAAATGCCGTTTTCGATTTCGGTTACCTTCTTAAAAAGTTTTGAACAAAATTTCTGTTTCTTTTTGGTGCGCTCTTCCTCTCTTCTTCAGCATGTAGGGGCATTGAATGGCTTTTTTTTCTAATAAACTGGTCAATTAATTTTTTTTACCTCGACAAAATAAACGCTCTGAGCTTTCCTAAAACACCGAAAAACTACTAGTTTGAGCATAAAATCTTATACTGTCGGCTAAGTTTTGTAAAAAAGTCAAAATGCCGTTTTCGATTTCGGTTACCTTCTTAAAAAGTTTTGAACAAAAGTTCTGTTTCTTTTTGGTGCGCTCTTCCTCTCTTCTTCAGCATGTAGGGGCATTGAATGGCTTTTTTTTCTAATAAATTGGTCAATTAATTTTTTTACCTTGACAAAATAAACGCTCTGAGCTTTCCTAAAACACCGAAAAACTACTAGTTTGAAAATAAAATCTTATACTGTCGGCTAAGTTTTGTAAAAAGTCAAAATGCCGTTTTCGGTTACCTTATCAAAAAAAATTTGAAAAAAAATTCTGTTTCTTTTTTGCGCGCTCTTCCTCTCAACTTCAGCATGTAGTGGCATTTAGAAATATTTATGGTTGGCGGCCAAAAATGGGGTTGCAGAAAGGTACTATAGCTTGATAATCGAGGCTTTGAGGTTGTTTTAAAAAGCTGTGTCCTCTCAAATCAGCAACTGGCTTTTAAAATCTTGCTGTTCCAACAAGACAGGGAAAGTACTACGTATTTTTGGTTTTTCACTTTTAATCGCCAATTTTGTACCAGCAGTAAACTTCAAATATTTTGATACTTCACTTAATGTTCTCTCAGTCGTGGTACAATCAATTATGCAAGGATGTTTCAAAGCTTTCCTCGCTGTCAAAAATACTTGATTTTTTGTAATTCATATTTCAACACAGTCAACACGCAGTTGGAAAAATGTACGAGAACAAAGTAACCGAGAAAAAAAAATTGATTTTTTTTAAATTGCAAATTTCTAAATATTCAGCATGCTCTTCGAAGTTCAAATAATGTTTATCATTTTTCTTCCGTCAATTTTTCTATTGGAGAAAAATGGATCAACGGGTGTTTTTTATTTCGCTAGGAATTCAGAAAATTGAAATCCTTTTTTGAAACTAAAATTTTTTCACAGTTTTTGTAATATTTTTTGCTTTTGCTTTTCAGGAGTGGATTTTGCCTTCAATTAACGAAAGAAAAACAAAAGAAATGAAATGAACATTGAAAAAACATCTTTTTTCAAACCGCAAGAAAAAAATTTTGAAAAAAAAACGATATAGGCAAAAAACATCAAGACCTATATAGGTGGCTTTACACTTAATCAACTGCTGTGGGAATTTTCTGTGCTACTAACACAACGGCCAGCTATTCGTTCAAATTTTATTTTTTTAAATGATTGATATGCAATTGAATGATTTGTGATACAGTCTTTTTTTAAATTATCCGGACATAACAAACAAAATTTGATTTTCAAACGCATTTTTCTCAAATTGGAGTAACAGTTGACCAAAATTAACAGAACAAAATCTGCTTAGAAAATCATCAGAAATAAATGGTGCATTTTGGCAACAATGGGCTAGTTTGACTTTGCTTAACTAATCAACAATTACGCCGAAATTATTATTAAAATTTTTTTTTAAATGCAAGTGACAAAAATTAAATTTTCAAAATTTTGTGTAAAACGTTTGAAATTTGTTTTGAGCAAAGATTTTGATTTTACTATATTGAAATGACTTTTTTTCTAAAAACACATTGTCCAAAAACACATTGTCCTTACAGATTTTTGGAACTTTGACATATCTCAAATTTTTTTGTGCTGTTGTGAGACACAGTTTTCGAGATCAATTTCTCATCAATCAATGTGTTAGTTTCGGCGTAATTGTTTATTAATTAAAAAATGGTTACCATAATTTTGAAAAAAAGTTACACCAAATTTAGGGTCAAATTCTGATGCAATTCTATTTACTTTTTGTTATCTTCACTTTTTATTATTCTCACTTCAACTTCAAAAACAAACGTTCGAATTTTTGAATATATTGTTCAATGTGTCCTGTTAATTCAAATCAGCACTGTACAAGGAGTATCAGTCTAAGCGCGTGAAACGACTTAACAATTTATTTTTTTTGTTTTTTCTTTGAGCTTTTCTCAACTCTAAAATAAAACTACCATCACGTTTTCACTCGTTTTATACAACTATCAAAAACGTGAAAAGCCTTTTAAAAAATCAAAAAAAGTGTTGTTTCTTTCAACTGATTATTTGGTGTGCTCTAACATTTACACATCAAAAATTAAAATTTTATAAATGTTCAATTGTTTTTAAGTTCTGTGCATGAGTTTTTCAAAACATTTTTTTATATGATTGCACCAGTAAATTGTAAATAGTCAATGCAACAAATACCGAATTTGAGGTGAAGCGATCTATGTTATTATTCAAATGGAATGACGGGCAGGTAAACTTATGCAGCCGAAAACGATAAAAAGACAGCTTGTATCAGGACAAAACACTGAATGTTCCGTCTGCTTTTTTTTGTTTCTATGGAGTATTTTAAAGTAAAATAACTGACGAAAATTTCAAAAAAAAACTAAAAAATATCAAGATTTTTGCCTGATGTTTTTTTTGCTGACAATTTCTAATAGGGACTCAATCTCCGCTTACGCGTTAATAGCCCAAAATCTATCGCGCGTTGATTGTCCCAAATTGCGCATAACTCTCATAACTTAATAAAAAATAATCACAGGCGAGCAATACTCTTAATTTTGAACCTGGGACAACAATACTTGCCGACTGAAACAAAAAAAAACATTCAAAAATTTGTCTGGATAAAAAAAACAACCCGAGCACAAATAATCCGTCATTTTCTTCAAAAGTCGGAAAAATAATGGTGGCTTCTGCGATATGCATAAGATATATCAAAGACTATTCAGCATTTCCAACAATTTTTTCTCCCACAATCCGGATTAGTTTTTTGCTTCAGCCAAAATTGGTCATGCTGTGATTGAGCTGAAGCTAGAGGTAAAGTGAGAGCTTTTCTTCACGGAATATTATTGCCATAGCATGGGATCGATTAAACAATCTGACGCTCTCAAAGTGAGTGCCTACCACCATGATATGTGTCTTGCACGTAGAAAAGAATAGCATTATGTGTTTTTGGTTGACAGCCAAAAAAAGTCATTTCAATATAGTAAAATCAAAATCTTTGCTCAAAACAAATTTCAAACGTTTTACACAAAATTTTGAAAATTTAATTTTTGTTACTTGCATTTAAAAAAAATTTAAATTATTTGAACAGATCGAAAAATTTAAAACCATTTTTGCCGCTTTGAATCATTTTGTTACAACAGCAAATTTTTATGACTGACTTCCCCCTTTAGTAAAACTTAATGAAAACTAATTTTGGCTGACCGACACTAAATTTGCTTCGAAGGCGCCTTAACACATTTTTGAGATGCGAAAAAGCTTAAATGAGAGAGAGCTTAAATGCGAGAGCGCTTGTTTTTTGCCAATAAAGGTTTTTTTTTGGTGTTTGTGTGAGCTCGGAAATCAATTCGTTTGACCTTAAAAAGTGACAGAATTTTCAAAACTTCCCCTTTTTTGCAATCGAGGATATCCTAGATCCTCCCTTGGTTGGAAAATTTTAATACATACGCAAATCTTTGAGACGTATTCCGATTTCGAAGGCCTCTCGTGACTCTATTTCGGCTGTCTTTTCAATCGCACTCAACTCGTTGTTCTCTTCCAACATCGGCAAGACTCTTCTGTTCTCCTCGCCCACTTCGCTTCCATTTACAGTCACATACACACTGTTGGAGTCGTCGAAACCTCCGCCGCCCGCCGAACGCATCACGAAGCTACCTCTCGATTGTCCCCCGAAGCCTCGGTAGTCGTCGGGCGCCACCTGTTGATGATGAGCGCCTACGCCACCCTGCGTCGAAGGCGGGAAAAATACACTTGGTTGAACGGCATTGGAACTTCCGAACTCATGATTGGATCTGAGTTTCTTGAAGTCTACCATGTAAGTGGCAATCCAAGTCATGGCAAATGAGGCCAGGATGGAAAAGTATGTGACCGGTTGTCCCGTTGAACTCATGGGGTAGAAGAAAACCTTTGAGAGAAGAAAAGCACTGGAACAAACTGCACAAAAACCAGCCACCATCCAGTGTTTACATTTCAGCACTAAATAGCCGAACGTCAACATGGCGTCACGGATGATGGAAAGCAAAACTACATCAGCCATCGACGTTGAAATCGAGTAGTTTTTGATCTCTACTCGGAACATGTGTATAAAATTTGAAGACTTCTTTTTAATGCTAAGTAGAATGGTCCAAAGCAAGAAAATTAGCAAAAAGTCGCACAAGCAGAATAGCCCGAAAGTGCGCCGAGCAACGCGGGGTTCCAAGTTGGGGTGGGTGCTTCCGGGAGCGGGTGCAGGGTTGCCTCCACCCGAGTTGACCACGTGGTTGTTCATGTAGGGCGGAATGTGACCATTTAGTGCCATCGGTAAACAGAAATAACACTGATTTTTGATATATTTGAAATCACAAATATGGCACTATTTGAATTATAATTGTCATGGACGACTGAAGGAATATAGGATTGTTTCGATGATAAAATTAAGATTGGGCGATAAAATATATTTGAAGTTTTCAGATTTTTGTGAAATTAATTTATCAAACTTAATGTTATCAATGAAAACATATAAAAATTAAAAGAAGTATAAGCTTAAAAGAAAACTTGAATGAGGCTTTGATTTTTTAAAATGGGCTGAGATGTCTGAGTAAACTTGGGTAGAATGATCAAAGTAGGTAAAAATGAATTGCTTGCTCCAAAGATAACCCGTTAAAAATAGAGGAATATGGACTTCAGGGTAGTTTTGAGTTATACGCCCATTTTAAGCTAAAACAAAGACAACTGCTTTACAAAAAATACCAATTGCTTGCACTTAGCTTTTAAAAATGCGTCGTGAACTTTGCTATCCTTACTTTTTTCCAATTTTAAGAATTTCCAACCATTTTCCTAATTTTTCATTACTTAGAAAGAGAAAAGGAAAATACGTGTGTATGTTTCCCTTGTGAAAAACATAAGCGCACATTTTTCACGTTATAACCCCGCCATTTCCTTTAAGGTAGAAAAAATATGGGAGGCAGGAATTAAGACGGACAGGAAGTGTTATCTCGCTATATGCGTTTTTTGAGGGTATTCCATTTTCCATCTTCTAGCTTTCTAGCCGGTTTTCTCTTTCAGTCAAGCAAAACAGGTTTAAAGAAAAAAGATCGTTTGACACGCAAAAAAAAGAGATATTAAGTCACGCAAATAAGCCAAGAAAAAATTGAAGCAACACTGCATACTTATTTCATTTCCAGCCATGGTAATGGAGCAATTCCCTGAAGCGAAATGAATAAAAAGCGAATGACGATATTCGTTAGCTACCAACAAATGGTAAATTGGCACTGAACAATGGTATTCTAGTTTGATGAACAGAAAAGATTTTCACGCGTGGTATTGACTCAAATTGGAAAACTGTAGCTGCTATTTTAGGACATGATGAAAAAAATTTACGTCAATGCACCATTATTGACGCACAAACGTAAAATACTCCGCAAATTCTTTGTTACTTAATACAATATATTTTGTCAATGGCTTTGAATGGTGCACTTGGCCTTTAAAAATGACCTAACAAGCCATAACAAGAAAAAACAAACAACAGAAAGGTAATTCAAAACAGCGATATATATATATCGCTCAACAAAATTATTTTTCTAATACAAAATCAAACGACTTAGTGGACAACTTTCGTTTTGATTTTTCAAAACATGAATGCAACAATCAAAAAATTGCCACCTATTTAATGAATCAAAAATGCAAAACTTTTTAAAATACCCGTTTAAAATAATAATGAAAAGTTACCAAAATACAAAAGATAAGTTGACTGAAGCTTGAACACTAGGAAACGAAAAAAAATACTAAACAAAACAATAGCAGTGTGTAAAATAAAACCGTTTTGTTAAGAGCTTATAACGTGATTGCGTTTCAGAAAAAAAAGGCACAATATAAATGAAAACCAGCGCATTGCTTTTTGCCTTTTTTCCTTTGTGCGTGTAGGAATAATCCATAAATTAAATCGCATTTTCTCATAATTCATGAAAAAAAAATTAAAAAGCAAACATTGCTTAGTGCTTGCAACAAGCACAATCTACCACCCAGCCCCCCCCCCCCCCCTCTAAACGCCTTTACTCAATTTTTATTCTTATCTTATCTGTCACGCCTATACATTTCAACCAAAATGTAGCCGCAATAACCAACCGGTTTATTCTATCTGAAGTAGCGCCGAAGATCCGGTTTCAACATGGTTGAGTGGATGAAAGGGGAAGTAGGAGGGATTTTACAATAAATTTGATCAAGATATCATTGGAAATGTCAGGAACGCCCATTTTTCTTTTCAAGTATCACAGCTAAAACCATATAACTGTCACCTATATTGCATTCAATTGTACGCTATCTGAAAACTGGTGAAACGAAAATATTTTACGCGTTTTTTTAATTCTCAATATTGAGAGAAGTTTTTGGGATTAATTTTTAAAATCCAAATTTCGGCACAAAGCATGCCAATGTGATAGGACAATTGGTACTCTATGTGCTTTTTCTCTGAGGCAGTGAAATTGCGCACAAAATATACAATGTAATTTGAGCTATTTCCACTTCTTCCAGAGTGGTGGGAATGAAATATGTTTGTATATAATTCTAGGATCATCCTATAAATCTTTTTGTTGAATAACATCATTCGAATCAAGTCTGTAATAAAAATTGCTTTGCATCAATGTTAAATTTTGTGTTAAATAAAAAGTGTTTTTGGGGATAAATAAAAACATTACTGCTCGGATCAAACCGGAGCCCTGAATGTTCCGACTGCCTTTTAAGGTTTACGTAGCAGTAATAACATGAGAAAATTAAATTTAAATGATATTTTACTTAATGAAAATCATCCCCCACACGCCATATAAAGTATAAAAGAATAATTTTTGCTCCTTGTAACAATTTAATTATGGCAAATATGCTTCTTTCAATCAATTTGGAACGATTTCTCAGACGGATTAAGTCTTCTCCACTTAAGCGCTAATAGCGCGAAATATACCGCGCGTTTATTGTCCCAAATTGGCCAAACTGGTCCTCTTTAAGCCCCCATAACTTTACCAAAAATGATTACAGGTGAAATATCTTTTTGAATTTAAGCTCAGAACAACATACCTTTTGAATGATATGAAAAATTCCGTCAAAATGAGTAGTTAAATAGTCAAAACTTGTCTGAAGAAAAAAACCAACCCCGAGCACAAATATTCCGTTACTTTCGTATCGAAATTCGCAGCAAAAACACTTGATTTGCCATTTGACTGCTCATTTCATTCAGATTTTTCAAGCCCGGCTTAAAAAGTACAACAAACACAATGTAGTTAAACTAAATTGTGAACAAGAAACATACAGTTCATGTCGATGTCACTCCTTGAATCTTCGACAACTTTTTAGCATCTAGAAAGTATCATATACTTGTTAAAATGGCAAAGCTTAGGTTAAAAACAAAAAGGAAAATCTTCTCTCTCCCATTATATGACAAACCTGAAGTTGGAATTCAAAGTTGGAATTCAAAACCAGACAAGACTGCTCGTATCAGGGCGAAGCCCTGAATGTCCCGACTACCTTTTAAGGTTTATGGAGCAGCAGTAATAACATTAAAAAATTAAATGAAATAAAACAAAATGAAAATTTTTTTTTCTCTAAAATTTGTAATTTTTTATGAAAATCATCCCCCATACACCATTTAAAGTACAAGAAGATAGATTTCGTTGTTTGTAACAAATCAATTATGGTAAGTAAGCTTCGTTCAACCAATTTGGAACGGTTTATAAGAAGGATTAAATCTCCGCTTACGCGTTAATAGCGCGAATCATATCGCGCGTTAATTGTCCCAAATTGGTCAAAATGCCCAAAATGGCAATCTTTAAACCATCATAACTTTACGAAAACTGATCACAGGTGAAATATCTTTTCAAATTTAAGCTCAGATTAACAATACTTTTCGAATGATTTTCAAAAATTCCGTCAAAAATTGCTTGTTAAAAAGTCGAAATTTGTCTAAAAAAAAACGCACCCCGAGCACAAGTATTCCGTTACTTTCGTATCGAAATTCGGAACGATGAAGTACTTACTTAAATGTTATAGAACGAGTTTTATTGTGCTTTTCTTATCAAATTTACAAAGAATAGAAAATTTCACACCCCTCAAGATTTTAAGGAAGCTATTATTTTAAAAGTCGGAAAAAATACATAGTTAAAAAAGAAGTCTGATCCGGCTTAAATGCGCTATAAAAACTAACCAAGACTTCATGCAAGCTGACAAAAGAGCAAAATTATACAGTTCCTGTGTAGGTAAAACAAATATTATCGTTCTAGATTTTTATTGTTAAAAAATTTGCAGTCAACACAAACCGAAACCAAAAGATAAAAACTTAAAATGGTTTTTCTAAAAAATGAAAAAACCATCTGAAAATCTTTTTTTAACCAACGGCTGAACCAGCTTCAAAATGGCGTGTCTTCATAAATGAAATTTAATTCTGTTTGTCTGTGCTGCTAATTTTTGAGGTATGCAGCTCTCATAAAATTTACAACTTCAACTTCTAACAGTTGCTTTTTTAAACAGTTGCTTCATTAACAGTTGCTTTTTTATTTTTCAAGTATTGAAATCTGCAGACTGCCCCAAAAAGAAACTAAAGTTAACATTGTAATTTTTTTTTCTGGAAATGATGTTATTCAAAGTTGACGACAATGGTAAGGCAATTGTTCGTTAAAATGATATGTTGTAACATTTAAATAGAAAATTTTAATAGTTGCCTTTAAAAAGGATGATTTATTATACAGTATAAATTTCACATATTGCATTGCTAATACAACACTAAAAAGAAGAAAAAAACAAGTTATTGAGTCAATTGTTTATTTTGAATTAAGAATGATTAGAGGAACCATTTTCTTCTTATTTGTTAACACCTAAAAAATCTGTTGTTTAAAACTGCCTATCTGAATTAAGACCCGGCACGGAAAAAATTTTTTTGCTTGAAACTTTTTTATGTAAACTAAAATTTCACAGAAAAGCATTAAAAAAGTTTAGCTCTTTTTATGCTCAGTACTTCCAAACTGCCTCTTAAAAAAGTAAGTACCTCTCATGTTGAAATCTACTAAAGCGCAACTTTAGGATAATTAGGCTGCCCCATTTGTTTGTTTTGATTTGAAAATCAGAACAAACAAGTGACCTATACCGATGTTTTGCTAAGTAAAAACTCTGAATATAAATGAGGCGTTATTCGAAGTATTTGCCTCATCAAATAAAACTAACAAGTTTTTTATTTCTGTTATAAGAAAAAAGAGATGTCACAAAAGTGTTCTTGATGAAACAGATGATTAAAAAACTATAAAAATCTTTTGATGACAAAAAGCAAGATGCAGGGTTGTGTCTGATCTGCAATTCAGAAAGGTTATAAATCCAGAAAATTAAAAATTTAGAACAACTTTCCACTTTTCATTTTCAGTAAAATCTTTTCTATATAAATTTTTTTTTTTAAAAACGACTAAATTCAAATGAATACTTATATTGGGAGCTGTAGTTTTAGAGCAAAAATCAAGTACTCCGATTTTACACTAGTTGTAATTCTAAATCAGACCTACTACGGTCTATGATTAAATAAAAGCAAAATTTATAGCACCAGGTTAAATTACCAAAGAGACAAGAGAAGCTATACGAAAGTACTTGTGTCTCTTTTAATATATGCTTAACACATATGCAGAGACTTGATTTTAGTACTAATTTTTTTTTGATTTTTTTCAGATTTTTTTTCTGTTTTTTTTACAGTGTGATCATAAAGACAAAACGGAAGATATTGCGGCTGAGTAAATTGAAGGATATTGTGGGCATTTCAGATTTGGTGGATTAATTGCATGTTTTTTATCCGGAAATTTTTTAACTGAGAGATTTACTGCCCATTCTTATTGATTTTGAAATTAGTTTTGAAATTTGAGAAATTTGAAATTTGAGGTTTTTGTAATCTCACAATTTGTAAGGCCAATTATGGTTGAAAATATAATATTGGCAAAAAATGATAATACATTCTGAATTGTACTGATACTGTCAAAATATTTCAAAAGAACTTTCATTTCACAAAAAGCCGTTTAGGTCAAGCTTACCGAATTATTGAAGTGTTGATTATATCAAATGTCCACCAAAAGAGAATATTGAAAATTATAGATCAAGCCTGAGAATTGATGGATCAGATCAAGTGACAGATAAATTGCCGT